AATATGTAACACTTCAAGAATTTGTGTGCCATCTTTGCGCAGGGGCCATGCTAATCTCTATAGCGTTCCAATTTTGGTATATGTGCTGCTGAAGCAGGCACTAGGATTGCACGTTCTACACCATTTGCATTCAGACAGGGGTCATGTAACTAGTGTACACTGATGGAATATTGAGTGGAACTTTTGTGCTTATTTTCTGGACCTAATTTAGGACTTCTAATTTACAGAACTCTAAGGCAAAGAGTTTGCATTGTTTGCAGCCACCACGTTTGTGGTCTTTTGTTACAGCAGTTATAGGAAACTAATACAATCAAACAATATTTAACAGAAGAGATCTTGAGAGGTCTGAAATTTATTGTGCATTGTAACTCAGCTAGTGAGTAAGGAGTTGTGCTGCCAAGCCAAAGGCAGGTTGTCCGAATCCACCAGCTGCTCGCTGGAGGCACATGGACAATCTCCTCCCATGTGATTTTTAGCCTGAGAAAACACATTGAAGGGTCAGCTATGATTCAGTTCCAACTCGAAGGCACATAGCAACAACAACAACAACACTGACCAGATTATATTTAGGTTTTGTTTTTAACCATCTTGGTTCCTTAGCTTCTAGGAAAGAAGAAATCATTTCTTGTGAGGTCTCTGAACTGAGAACTTAAGACTCAAAGCTCAACACTAGCATTGCCCAGTTTTTCTAGCACTATCAGGAATGATCAACCAAATTAAATTACTTTCTGTAATTTTTTTTATGACAGAAAACACTGATCATTCAAATATTTGTATTCTGCAACTCTTGATTACAACATTTCTAGGTGACAGAAGAGTAGCTATTTTGCCATTGCAAGACATGATATTAGTGCCTCCTGTATCTTTTGTAACATGATCCTTCATCCCTTTAAATCTAATCATATTTAAAAGCCTGTTCTAGAAAACCTAGAACTTATTCAGAGGACTCTCCCTTCAGAAGCTCAATATTAATCGGTGTCAACTGTGGTTCAGACAGAGACGCATAATCACCAAGATTATGTATAATATGTTGTTATTGTCATGTAATTGTTGAGTAGGAACCGACCCATAGCGGTCCTCTGGTGGGTTTTCAGAGACAGTTAATTGCACAGGACAAGATTGCTCATTCTTATCCTGCGGAACTGCTGGTGGATTTGAACCATGTATCTTCAGGATTGCAGGGCAGCTTCTTACCTCTAGGCCACCAGTGCTCCCTATATGTAATGTAGATTATATATATAAAATGCTTCTTAGAAGTGAGGATGATGAGGTTTGTCTCTTATACTTTGGACATGCTACCCGTAGTGTCAGTCCTTGGAGAAGGACACAATAGTTGGTAAAGTAGAGGTTCAGTGAACAAGAGGATGACAAGTTAGATTAACACAGTGGATGCAACAATGGGCTCAAATAAAGCAGTGGCTGTGAGGCTGGTAAAGGAGCAGGCAGTGTTTTGTCCTGTATACAATCACTGAGTCAGAATTGACTCACCAATACCTGTAACACATATAAATAATGAAATACATGTTATAATTTGTTTGGAGTCCCTGGGAAAGCTGGTAGTATTTCTAATCCACTGGCCACTGTACAGGAAAAAAATCAGTCTTCTTCTGTAAAGATCAACAGCCTCAGAAAATCAAAGTGGATGGAGAGGATTTGATGACAATGGGTTAGGTTTTTGGTTTTAGAGTCATTGAGTGATGCAAAGGTCACTGAGTCCAGCTGTTACCTGAAAGGGTACCTGTTCAAATTCCCCCAGGGGCTTCTTGTAAGAAAGACTTGGAAACAAATTCAGTCATTGAAAACTCTAGGGAGTACAGTTCTACTCCAACACACATGTTATTAAGTGCTGTTGAGTATGGCTCATAGTGATCCCATGAACCATAGATCTGATTTCTGTCCTATCCTGCACCGTCTGTATTATCTTGGAAACTTTTGAGTTTGTTGCCCCTGACACGGTATCAATCCATCTCATTGGTGGTCTTCTAGCCTTTGCTGATCCTCCACCTTTCCAAGCTTGATGTTCTTTTCCAAGAAATAGCCTTTCCTAACAACATGTCCAAAATATGTTAGACAAAGCTTCACCACTTTTGCCTCCAGGGAACATTCTGGTTGTATTTTCTCTGATATGTATCTGTTTGTTCTTTTGGTAGTCCATGAGACATTCAGTACTCTTCTCCAACACCACAGCTTAAAAGCATCGATTCTTCATCTGCTATCCTTATTCATTGCCCAGTTCTCAGTTGCATAGCTGGTGATTGGAAAATCTGTGGCTTGAATCAGGAGTCCTTTAATATTTAGACAGACATCATTACCCTTCAGGATTTTGGAGAGATCCCTGACAGCTGACTTTCCCAGTGTCATACATCTCCTCATCTCCTGACTGCTGGTACTACCAAGGGTGTTGATTATGGATCCAAGCAAGATGAAGTCTCTAAAAATGATAGAAAGAGGATTGATGCCTTTGAGCTGTGGTGCTGGAGAAGAGTGTTGAATATACCATGGACTGCTAGGAGAACAAACAGGTTTGTCCTGGAGAGGGTGAAGCCAGAGTGTTCCCTGGAGTCAAGGATTCTGAAGCTTCGTCTGACATATTTTGGGCATGTTGCAAGGAAGGACTGGTCCTTGGAAAGGGACATCATGTTTGGCAGAGTGGAGGGGAAGCGAAGGAGAGGAAGACCTTTGGTGAGATGGATCGATTCTGTGACTGGAGCGGTGGGAATAAGTGCGTTTGAGATGGCTAGGTTGGCACAGGATAGAGCAGCATTTAGAGCTCTTGTACATAGGGTCGCTATGAGTTACAAGCGACTCGATGGCACATAACAACAACAACAACAACATCATGATGTGTTGTAGGTTGAATGTACCATGGACTACCAAGAAAAGAAACAGATTCATCCTAGAGAGGGTTAAACCAGGATGCTCCTTGGAGGCAAGGATTCTGGGGCTTTGTCTGACATACTTTGGACATGTTGTAAGGAGAGACAGGTCTTTAGAGAGGGACATCATGCTGGGTAGAGTGGAGGGACAGCGCAGGAGGGGAAGACCCTCTATGAGGTGGATTGATTCAGTGACTGGGGTAATCGGGATGGGTGTGTCAGAGGCAATGAGATTGGCACAGGATAGAGCAGGGTTTAGGGCTGTTATACATAGGGTCACTATGAGTAGCAAATGACTCGACGGCACATAACAACAACAACAATCATGATGTGACAACAACGACTACTTTGGTGGCCTAGTGGCAAGAAGTTGAGCTATGATGTTGAAGGCACACACTTCTAATCCACCAGCTGCTTCCTGGGAGAAGGATGAGTAGTCTTCTCCTGTGTGATTAACTGCCTCTGATAACCCACTGGAGGGTCAGCTGTGGGTTGGTTCTGATTCTATGATACACAACAATACTAACATCATGATGTCGTCTATCAGTCCAGTGGTAAGGATTTTTGTTTTTTTGATGTTGAGATTTAATCCATATTGGAGGCTATGGTCCTTGATCCTCTCCAGCAAATCCTTCAGGTCCTCTCCACTTTCAGCAGGCAAGGTTGTGTCATCTGTATAATACAGGTTGTTGATGAGCCTTCTTCTAATCTTGATGATGCCACACTCTTCTTCATATAGTCCACCCTCTTGAATGATTTACTTAGCATACAGACTGAATACATACGGAAAGAGGATATAACCCTGACACACATTTTCCTGAAGTTAAAACATACAGTGCTCTCTTGCTCTGCTCATACAACAACCTCTTGGTCCAGGTATAGATTTCATATAAGTACAATTAATGTTCTGGAATTCTCATTCTTCTCAAGGGTAGCCATAAGTTGTTATGATCCACATAGTCAAATGCCTTTGCATAGTCAGTAAATCACAAATAGATATTCTTCAGATATTCTCTTCTTTTAGTCAAGAGCCATCTGACATCAGCAATAATATCCTGGTGCTATGGCCTTTTAAAAACTCATCTTGAACTTCTGGAAGTTCTGTCAGTGCACTGTTCTAACCATTTTTGGATGATCTTCAACAGTATTTTGCTTGCATGTAATATTAATGCTATTGTTTTAAATTCGCCACGTTCTATTGGTTCACCTTTCTTAGGAATGGGGACAAATGTGGATCTCTTCCAGTTAGTTGACCAGTTAGCTCTCTCCCAGATTCCCTGGCATAGACTAGTGAGCATGTCCAAAGCTGCATCTGTTATTTGGAACATGCCAATTGGTAGCCCATCAATCCCCAAAGCCTTATTTTTTGCTCTTCAAGTCTCTTCAAGAGAATAAAGTCTCTTCAAGGCAGCTTGAATTTCTTCTTCAATCGCTGTTGGCTCTTGATCACATATATGGTACATACATGGGCTTGCCATATTTGGGGGCTTCCAAGAAATGAGCTGAATTTAGTGAATTTGAATCTAGTTTAGTCCCTTCATTTAATATGAAAGGAATCTAAATTAGAGCGTATATTAAACTGGGTAAGACTCACTGACAGAATAAGAAATCCCTTAATTTTGCTCCAAATCACTCTCTCGTTATCTGCTCTGCAGTTGAAGTTAAGGCAGGTCTACTTCATAGGAAGATGTTGAATCTTGCCAGTAGAGGGCGAAAGCGAGCCATCGCAGGAGGAAGGGATGCCTCTTCCCGTTTCTGGTGTACCAGGCTGGCTTCTAGGATGTTTGCTTGCTGAAGCTGTGCATTCAGGTCGATGAGGTGGATACATGAGCCCATCCAGTGATGCTGCACTTAATCTGTGCACAGGGACTCTACACTCCCTTGGTGACCTCTATCTTCTGTCTGGACCAGCAACCTCCTTCCTGCGGCAAACCCCACGTCTGCTTCTGCACCATCCTCTCCTCTCCTCACCCATCCCCTTCCCTCCCCTCCAGTTTAATTCATTTATCTTCTTTCCTCTATTTTTCATTTTTTGTTTCCTTTGGCAAAATGTACGTGAACACAAAACTGAAATGCATCCATCTTGGCCAGTTGGTACTGGGCTGGCCATTGGCTGGTACTTACGCTTGCTGCAGTTGGCACCAGTGTAGGAAGAGTAGCACTCGCAGGACCCATCGCCGCCTATTCCACTGTTGCACACGCCATGGACACAGGAGCACTCTGTAGACAGAAAGGGGAGAGTTTTCAGCACTTGGAATAGACTTCTTCCAAATATTCTGAAAAGGGAATGTTTTCAGAGAGTCTTCACTGAAAATCTGCACAGGGAAAACCATCGTTCTGAAACAAAGCTTCAAACCAGTTAATTTTCTTTCAACCTCCCATTGAGATTTTGCGTTTTTACATCAGAAATATTGGATCAGAATCACAGTGCTTCACAGGCTGTTAAAATGTAGATTTTGCTCAGTATATCTAGCGTAGGTAGAAAGGGCATTGAATTGGAATGAGCCAGTTAGAAGCCTTTGTGTGGAGTCATAGGTATCTGGTTTGAATCTTGAATTCATCTTTCCTTTATTAGTCACGATTCCTTTATGCATAAAATGAGGACAGTGTTGCCCAGTAAATGGTATTTCTATCAAGTTAAAGATGATAATGCGTACAAGCCTTATCATGTACACTGGGATTCCTTCCTTTGCTTTCAAATTAATTACTTCATCTTTGAATACCTCAACAAGAAAATTCACTTACTGCCCTAGATATGTTTAAAGGAAAAGAGCTACTACCACGAGTTCAATCACTTCTGATAGAGGAACTCTGCAAATTAATCCTATTTCCTGAATAACTGGAAAATGTAGGAATATAAAGAAAATGAACAAGGACAGCAAATTGATGACTTTCCAGCTCAATGACAGGTCACTTCAGAGCTGACGAGGAAAAGTTTTGAAATAAATGGTCAACTCCTTAGCAGTCCAGTATGTGGCTTCTTTGCAGGGATGATTTGCTGACAGGACCAACACCAGGTGCTTATTATGGCCAGGGCCCCAGGAAGCATGCTGAATTAGTTTCCTATGGCTGCTGTAACAAATTATCACACATTTAGTGGTTTAAAACAACACAACTTTATCATAAGCATATGTTTTGGATGTCAGAGTTTAAAATAGGTTTCACTGGGGTAAAATAAAAGTGTCAGTAGCCCACCCCCCACATGCCTTTATGAGACTACGGGAGAATTTGTTTCTTTATCTTTTCCAGCACCTAGAGGTCAGCACATTCCTTGTTCTATGATCTGTTTCCGTCTTCAAAGTCAGCAGCTTCAGACTAAGTTCCTCTTGTACTGCCATCTCAATCTATTGATTTTCTTTCTATCTTTTAAAAATTTTTTATTTTATATTAGTTTGCTTACAAAGTTCATATACATTGTGTTTCACACTATCCTTCACTCACATTGTGTTTCATACAATCATTGGCATTCATTATGTTTTATAAAATTAATCACCATTGAATAATGCATACCATTATCCTGTTTTTCCAGATCACCATTGGATCATTCCCATTTCCTTCACCCCCCTCTCGCTCCACCCACACAATTGTGCATTCTCTCTACCACCACCCTCCTCCCCACCCCCCCCAAAATTTTCATACACATTTATTTTACTAATTATCTTTCTATTTCTACAATAATGGTCAGTATTTGTCCTTATGAGGTTGATTTAGTTCAGTCAGTATAATACTCTCCAGGCCCTCCCAAGTTATGTAGTTATTTTCAAAATTGTTGCTCCTGAGTGCTGCGTAGTATTCCATTGTGTGAATATACCATAATTTCTCAATCCATTCAATTGTGGTTGGCCATTTGGTCTATTTCCTTCTTTTTGAGATGGTGAATAATGCTGCAATGAACATTTTGGTGGCAAAGTTTAACAGGACAGCAAACAGTAAGTGTTGGAAAGGATGTGGAGAGATTGGAATGCTCTACACTGTTAGTGGGATTGTAAACTGGTACAAGCATTCTGGAAGACAATTTAGCATTTTCTCAAAAAGCTGAACATAGAAATCCTGCATGGCCCAGCTATTTCACTGCTAGGACTATGCCCTGAGAAAATGAGAACTCAGATACAATCTATTGATTCTTTCTCCTTTTTTGCCTTCCTCTTCCTCTTAGAATTCTCCCTGTGATTACATTGAACTCATGTGGATAATATTTGATCTCATCCTATCTTTTAGTGGTTGTTGGGCATCATCGAGTTGACTAGGACTCCTGAGGACCTATAAATAACAAAAGTTTGAGTAATCGAAAGTTTGTTCTATCCTGCACTGTCCTCACAATCTCTAATGTGCTCAAATACATTGCTATAGTCACTGTATCAATCTGTCTCATTCATGGTCTTTCTTTCTTTCCATGACCCTACCCCTTTCCCAGCATGATGTCTTTTTCTAAGGACTGGTGCCTTCTGACAACATGCCCAAAGTATGTGAGACAAATTTTCACCATCCTTGCCTCTAAGGAACATCCTGTTGCATTTTCTACAAGATAGATTTATTTCTTCTTTTGATAGTTCATGCAATATTCAGTACTATTTGCCAACCCTACAATTCAAAGGCATCAATTCTTTGGTCTTTCTAATTAATTTTCTGCTTTACATGCATAAAAAGCAATTAAAAATTCCATAGCTTGGTTCAGACACACCTTAGTATTTAAACTGACATTCTTTGCATTTTAGCACTGTGAAGTCCTATCTTAGCTACATTTAAGTCAACTTAAGAGAATTGGACAATGGCCAAGGAGGATAGAAAGAGAATTGATGCCTTTGAGCTGTGGTGCTGGAGAAGAATATTGAGAGTACCATGGACTGCTAGGAAAATAAACAGATTCATCTTGGAAAGGGTTAAATCAGGTGGCTCCTTGGAGGCAAGGATTCTGAGGCTCCGTCTAACATACTTTGGACATATTGTAAGGAGAGATTGGTCCTTGGAGAAGGACATCATGCTTGGGAGGGTGGAGGGACAGCACAGGAGGGGAAGACCCTCTATGAAGTGGATTGATTCAGTGACTGGGGTAATCGGGATTGGTGTGTCAGAGACAGTGTGATTGGCATAGGACAGAGCAGAGTTTAGGGCTGTTGTACATAGGGTTGCTATGAGTTGCAAGCGACTTGATGGCACATAACAACACCACCAACATCAACATCACTAATATGACACACTAACAAAATCCTGCTGAAGATTATCCAGAAAAGATTTGAACAGTACATTGATAGAGAATGACAAGAAATACAAATTGGGTTTAGAAGAAGTCATGGCACTAGGGACATTATTGCCAATGTCAGATGGATCTTGGCAGAAAGCAGAGAATACCAGAAGAATGTCTATCTGTGTTTCATTGACTATGCAAAGGCATTTGACTGTGTGGATCACAAGAAATTGTGGCCAACCTTGAGGAAAATGGGAATCACAGAACACGTGATCGTGCTTATATGAAACTTATACTTTGGTCCAAGAAGCAGTCCTCAGAACAGAGCAAGGAAACACTGCATGGTTCAAAATTAGGAAAGGATGCATCCTGTCTCCACATCTTTTTAATCTGTACGCAGAACAGATCATTCAGGAGGCAGGGCTTTATGAGGAGGAGTGTGGCATCAAGATTGGAGGAAGACTCATTAACAACCTACGATATGCAGATGACACAGCTTTGCTTGCTGAAACTGAAGAAGACCTGAAGCACTTGCTGCAAAAGCTCAAGGACTGTAGTCTTCAATATGGCTTGAAGCTCAACCTCAAGAAGACAAAGATTAAAAAAAAAAAAAAGAAGAAAGATTCTCACCACTGGGCCAAAAGGCAGCACCATGATAGATGAAGAAGATTGAGGTTGTTAGCAATTACAGCTTTCTTGGCTCCACAATCAACACTCTTAACAGCAGCAGTCAGAAAATCAAAAGATGAATTGCATTAGAAAAATCTGCTGTCATGGACCTCTCTAGAGTGCTGAAGAGCAACGATGTTAGTCTAGAGATAAAGGTGCACCTAATCCAGGCCATGGTCTTCTCAATTACTTGTTATGCTTCAGAAAGTTGGACAGTGACTAAAGATGACTGAAGAATATATGCCTTTGAGTTGTGGTGCTGGAGAAGAGTCTTGAACATATCATGGACTGCCAAGAAAACAAATAGGTCTGTCTTGGAGAGAGTGAAATCAAGTCTGTCCTTGGAGGCTAGGGTTTTGTATCTCCACCTCACTTGCTTTGGGCACGTGACAGGATATATCAATCCTTGGCAAAGGACATTATGTTTGGAAGGGTGGACGGACAGTGCAGAAGAGGGAGACCCAGGATGAGATGGATTAGCACAGTAACTGAGACGATGGGAGTTGGTGTGTCATAGTTAGTGAGACCGGCTCAGGACAGGGAAAGGTTCAGAGCTGCTGTACATTTTGTTGTTGTTGTTATGTGCCATCGAGTCACTTGCGACTTATAGCGACCCTATGTACAACAGCCCTAAATTCTGCTCTATCCTGTGCCAATCGCACTGTCTCTGACACTAGGGTTGCTTTATATCACAGGCAACTCAACAGCACATAGCAATAATAACATACTATGACAGGTTTGGAAGTAGGAGTGGAATCCACTCCCTGAAGAACATGCCTCTGGAACCTTTATGATCTTTGATAAATGTTGATAGCTGTAAAGGGGGTTTAGGCCTTTTGTTCATAGAGTCGCTATGAGTAATGCTCGACTCAAAGTCAATCAACAACAACAATGCTAAGATGTAATCCATGCTGAAGGTTGTAACCCATGATCTTCTGCAGCAAGCCCTTCAAATCCTTCTCACTTTTAACAAGGAAGATTGTGTCATTTTCGTAACACAGGCGGTTGATGCTTCTTACTCTGATCCCGATGCCACATTCTTCATTTAAGAAGTCCCACTTCTCAGATGGGAAGTTGTTGCTGTTGTTAGGTGCTGTCAAGTTGAGCATGACTCATAGCGACCCTATGAACAAAATATCTGAACCCTGTTCTATCCTGCTGCATCCTCACACTTTGTGACACACACAGCTCATTGAAACAGTCACCATGTCAATCCACCTGGTTGAGGGTCTTCCTTTCCTTTGCTGACTCTACACCCTTCCCAGCATCATGTCCCTCTCCAAGGAATAGCCCCTTCTAGCAACATGTCCAAAGTATGTGAGGTGAGGCCTCATCATTCTTGCTTCCAAACAGGATCACCATCTCA